TTGGAGCACTGGAAACATGAAGTGGAGTTGGAGGAGAGGCAGGTCAAGAGGACTTGCCATGGGCATGTGGGGAAGGATGCCAAGATGCCAGTTTGGCAGGAAGCCTAGAATCCAAAGTGTGCCCCAGTGTAATGGGGGAGGGATATTAATGTCTCCAGAACTGCTTTTGAGAAGGCTTCTGATTTGAACTCAACTGAGCCCATGGCAAGCTCCGCTGTTTAACTCTCCTGAGTGACTCCAAGGTCATAAAGGTGTTCAGAAACTGGGAACAAAGAGGTGTTACTCCTTGGCTACGTCTACATTGGCATGATCTTGTGCAAATACTCTTTAACGCAAGAGTTATTGCGTTAAAGTATTTGCGCAAGAGAGCGTCTACACTGGCATGTGCCTTTGCAGAAGAGATGTGCTTTTGCCCAAGAGCATCCATGCCAGTGTAGACGCTCTCTTGCGCAAATACTTTAACGCAATAACTCTTGCGTTAAAGAGTATTTGCACAAGATCATGCCAATGTAGACGTAGCCAAGGAGTAACACCTCTTTGTTCCCAGTTTCTGAACACCTTTATGACCTTGGAGTCACTCAGGAGAGTTAAACAGCGGAGCTTGCCATGGGCTCAGTTGAGTTCAAATCAGAAGCCTTCTCAAAAGCAGTTCTGGAGACATTAATATCCCTCCCCCATTACACTGGGGCACACTTTGGATTCTAGGCTTCCTGCCAAACTGGCATCTTGGCATCCTTCCCCACATGCTGTTTGAACTGACATGTGAGACAGATCAGAAAAGATTTCAGCGTGCTGTCAAGACCCTGGGCACCACCTATAAGGAGGTAAGCTCCTTGCTGGGAGAATATCCCTGCAAATGGGGAAAACGTATGGGTGTCCACTTCTGCAGAGGACATATATCTGGTAGGATCGGAGCAGCTGTATAACATCCTTAAGATGTGGTTAGTGGGCCAGATATACTGGCAAACAAGTTTATAAACAGAAGACCTGGAGCAGTAGCGTAAGCAAGCTGCAACACTTGGGTGGACCCCAATTTAGGGTGGGCAAGCAATCAAAGGAGGTTGGGTAGGAGCCATCAGGGCCACCTCTCCCCTCCTCCAGTCCTCTAGCGGGTGATAAGCTCTCTTGCCAGGGGCACTAGAAGAATGGGGGGGTTGAAAAATGTGCACCCCCACCTGTGCT